GATGGATGATGGATGATGGATGGATGGATGGATGGATGATGGATGATGGATGATGGATGGATGATGGATGGATGGATGATGGATGGATGATGGATGATGGATGATGGATGGATGGATGATGGATGGATGATGGATGGATGGATGGATGGATGGATGGATGGATGGATGGATACCTGGACACTCAAACAGTGACCCCACCCATCCAACTACCTCCCAACCCTCTCCTCCCCTACCTGCCACCCCTGTCCTGTCCCAGGAAGGTGGTGTCACCCCAAGGTCCCCCTTTTCCCACCTCGCTCCAGGTTTTCCATCAGTTTCTCCTACTACGGCTTGGCCATGGACCTGCAGAACTTTGGGGTCAGCATTTACCTCATCCAGGTGATTTTCGGCGCAGTTGACTTCCCAGCCAAGGTGGTGGTGACCGTGTCCCTGAGCTACGTTGGCCGGCGGCTCTCGCTTGTGGTGGCCTTGTTTTTGGCAGGTCTGGTCATCGTGGCCAACATCTTTGTGCCCACAGGTGGGTGTGGTCTCCATCACTCTGGCCACCAGTGTCCCCTGCCTGTCACGTGACTTCCTCTGTGTTTCCAGTCCAACCACTGACGTCCCCATCCCCACATCCTCCCTCCCTGCCTCATCCCCACCTGCCCAAGGTGTCCCCACCTTGTGGCCAAGCCCTGGTGTCCCCATGTCCCCACCTGGTGGCCAAGCCCTGGTGTCCTCGTGTCCCCACCCCCGGGGGCCAAGCCCTGGTGTCCCCGTGTCCCCACCTGGTGGCCAAGCCCTGGTGTCCCCATATCCCCACCTGGTGGCCAAGACCTGGTGTCCCCATGTCCCCACCTGGTGGCCAAGCCCTGGTGTCCCCATGTCCCCACCTGGTGGCCAAGCCCTGGTGTCCCCATATCCCCACCTGGTGGCCAAGCCCTGGTGTCCCCGTGTCCCCGCAGAGCTGCAGACGGTGCGCACGGCGCTGGCCGTCATCGGCAAGGGCTGCCTGTCCGCCTCCTTCAACTGCGTCTTCCTCTACACCACCGAGCTCTACCCCACCCCCATCAGGTACCTCCCTGGCCCCACGTCCCCTCCGTGGGACAGGTCCCTGCCACCCCTCCCCGGACACCCCCTGGGTGCTCTGAGCCCCCCGTGACCCTCCCGGCGCCGCAGGCAGACGGGGCTGGGCTTCGGCAGCACCATGGCGCGCGTGGGCGGCATCGTGGCGCCGCTGGTGAAGATGATGGACGAGTACTACCCCTTCCTGCCCCCCGCCGTCTACGGGGTGGCCCCAGTGGTGGCGGCCGTGGCGGCCGCGTTCCTGCCTGAGACCCTCAACACGCCGCTGCCTGACACCATCGAGGAGGTGGAGAACAGGTGGGTGGGCGGCAGGGAGGGACGCGGGGTGGGTGGATGATGGATGGATGATGGATGGGTGGTGGACGAGGGTTGGATGGACATTGGATGGATGATGGACAATGATGGACAATGGATGGAGGATGGACAATGATTGACAATGGATTGATGATGGACAGTGATGGACAATGGATGGACAATGGATGGATGTTGGATGGGCAATGGATGGATGATGGACAATGATGGACAATGGATGGATCATGGACAATGATGGACATTGGATGGATGATGGACAGTGATGGACAGTGGATGGATATTGGCTGGACAATGGATGGACAATGGATGGATGCTGGATGGGCATTGGATGGATGATGGACAGTGATGGACAATGACGGATGATGGACAATGATGGACAATGGATGTTGGATGGACAATGGATGGATGATGGACAATGGACAGTGATGGACAATGACGGATGATGGACAATGATGGACAGCCCCAGCCATGAAGAGGTTCAGGGTCAAGGCGCCCCTGGCTGCATTGAGGGACAGGTGGATGGAGGATGTTGGCAGAAGAACGAGCTCTGTGATTGGCCTAATGCTCGGCCTGGACCCCTCCCCCTGTGCAATGAGCTCCTCCTCCATCTCCTCCTCCTCCTCCTCCTCTTCCTCCCTCCAGGACCAAGCAGAAGCCAGCAGGTGACCCCAAGGAGAAGATCGCGCTCCAGCCCCAGGACGGGCCCCCGCTGAAGGAGGCCTGAGGGACCCTGGGGGTGGGCGCAGCCCCCCAGCCCCGGCCAGGCCGGCACCACCCCAGGTGGGGGTGGTGGGAGACCTCGGTGGTGACCGGTGACCTCCCGTTGTTGCGGGGACACCCGGGCAGGAATAAAACAGCTCTGGTGGGGACACGTCTCGGGGTCTTATCTGTGCCCCCCCAGGTCACCCCCAACAGCCACGTCTGAGGTCACCTCCCAGGGGACAACGCCCAAAAATTGTGTCCCTGAGGTGACTTTCAATAAGGGGACAACCAAGAACCCCTTTTTTGGGGGTCATCTCCACAGGAGGACACCCCACAACCTTGTCCATCAAGAAGGTGGCACCCAAGACCCCCATTTTTGATGGGACCTTGTCCAATAGGATGATACCCGAGGACCGTGTCCCCGAAGCCACCTCAGCTAAGGTGGCACCAAGAGCACCACATTGGATGTCACCTCCAAGACAACCCTCAGTAACCCCAAACCAACCCCATGTCCTGGTAAAGACATCCCCCAAATCCCAGAGAAGGTGGGGAAGCACCAGGATCTCCCGAATCTCACCCGGCCCTGTCCCGGCGCCGCCGCGATGCCCCTTCCCCGATTTCCGTCCCCCGAAGCCACCCCGGCCCTTGCTCCCGTTTCTGACGTGTTCCTTGGCCCCATCAATCTCCCCGTCAAAAATTAACCCCCGGCGGGGAAATGTGCTGACCCAGGCAGGGCCACCTCTGTCAGCACCTTTCGGTCGCCTTTTGACCACTGAAATCACTAAAATTTAACCCAAAGGCGCCACCGAAGGCCAGACATTGGCCCAGGCCTGGAGACCTCCTCTCTCTGCCGTTCCCACCCTTGTCCACCAAACCTCCCGGATGACCCCTCTCCAAAACCTGACTTTTCCCCTCAAAAAAGCAATGCTGTGAAATAATAATTAAAAGAAATCAGGTATTCCTTGTCTCCTTGACCCAAATGGCTCCAGTTCTGCCCCACTTTGGGGGACTTTTGTCCCTAAAACACCTTTTTTTTTTTACCCCCCGGACACCTTTTTCTGCACTTTTGCCTTCTCCTGCTGGAAAACCACCAAAAACCCCCCGGAGATGTCAAACATTAACCCAACCCACCGATGGCTGGGTTATATAGGAGACCACCCCTGGGTGCTGCTGGAGGGAAGGCACCGCGTGGGACCGGGCGGCATTTTTGGGCTGAAACCCCTGAAATCCGGGGCTCTGCATGGCTGTGGGGCGTTCCCAGGCCCCGGCGGTAGCAAGATGGCTTTCGCCAGCCTCCTGGAGCACGTGGGGGGCATGGGGCGCTTCCAGGTGGTCTCGGTGCTGCTCCTGTCCCTGCCTGTGCTGATGATGGCCAGCCACAACCTCCTGCAGAACTTCACCGCTGCCACCAGCGACCACCGGTGCCGCCTGCGCCCGGAGGCCAACGCCAGCGGCCTCGACCCCGAGGCCCTGCTGAGGGTCTGGGTGCCCCGCGGGGAGCGGTGCCGGCGCTTCGTGACACCCCAGTGGTGGCTTTTGGAGGCCAACGGTTCGGCGCCCAACGGCTCTCGGCCGGAGACGGAGCCGTGCGGCGATGGTTGGACCTACGACCGCAGCGTCTTCACCAGCACCATCATCACTGAGGTGGGACGGGCAGGGGAGGGGTTTGGGGGGGGTCTGGTGGGATTTTCACCCAATTCCATGGGTGGGTCCCACCTAGAGGCACCAACGAAGGGTCTGCTGCCAACACAACACTGACCTCTCCGAGCTGGAGCATCTTCTCCGCTCAGCCTTTGGTGGAGATGCTCAGGAAGCCCCAGGAGGGGAAGGAAGGGATGGAGAATTGGTGGCCATCAACAAAGAGGTCACAAGGGGGTCACAAGGGGGCCACAAGGGGTCACAAGGGGTCACAAGGGGTCACAGGATCCTTGCATGGACCTTCCAGCCATGGTGCTGATGGGAACGGTGGCCAAGCATTCAGTGTCACCTTTCCATTGGCCACTCATTGACCTTACCGGCCACCACGGGTGATTTTGGGGTTCAGGAGGCCAGAGGGGACCCTGATCTCTGTCCCACCCGGTGTCCTCGTCCCTCGGCAGTGGGACCTGGTGTGCAGCTCCCGGGGGCTCAGGCAGCTGGCGCAGTCGCTCTACATGGCCGGAGTCCTGGTGGGCGGCGTCTTCGGGGGGCTCTCGGACAGGTGAGGGGTGGCAGGTGGGGTGGCACCACGGGGGTTGTCTCACCCTCTCTGCCTCTTCTTCATTCCCTACTCCTCTTTCTTCTTCTCAGCCTCTTTTTCCTCCTCATCCCCTTTTCCTCCTCACCTCCCTCCCTCTTCCTCATCTTCCTCACTCCTTTTACCTCCTCTTCACAACCTCTTCCTTCCCCTGCCCTTTCTTCGTCTTTCTTTTGTCTACTCCTCCTCCTCTCTACTTTCTCCTCCACTTCTCCTGCTCCTGCTCCTCCTCCCCCTCCTCTTCCTCTTCCTCCTCCTCCTCCTCCTCCTCCTCCCCCTCTTCCTCTTCCTCCTCTTCTCCTCTGCTCCCATCTCTTCCCCCTCACCCCCTGCTGATCCTCCTCCTCCTCCTCCCCGTCCAGGTTTGGCCGCCGCTTGGTGCTCACCTGGTGCTACCTGCAGATGGCCGCCATGGGCACCTGCTCGTCCTTCGCACCCACCTTCAGCATCTACTGCCTGTTCCGCTTCCTGACAGGCATGGCCTTCTCGGGCATCGTCCTCAACAGCGTCTCCCTCTGTACGTGACCCCATGGTTCCTGCCCTGGGCACCCGCCTGGGTGGGCTCCGTGTCCCCCCTGAACCTGTGGGAACCATCCCAGTGGTATTCATGTCCTCCAGGCACCATCCTGGTGGCCTCCATGTCCCCTGGCACCTGTGGGTCCGCGTCCCCCCAGAACCTGCCCTTGGATCCATGTTCCCCTGGGCACCATGTCCCCATGGCACATGTGTGCCCTCCCAGAACCCCTGGGCACCATCCCGGTGGTGTCCCCATCCCCTGGGTACCATCCCGGTGGTGTCCCCATCCCCTGGGGTACCGGTGGGCACTCCCGGGTGGTCCCCACGTGCCGTGTCCCGCAGCGCTGGAGTGGATGCCGACACACATGCGGGCGCTGGTGGGGACATTCATGGGGTACTGCTACACCGCCGGGCAGTTCCTGCTGGCCGGCGTCGCCTTCGCCATCCCCGACTGGCGCAAGCTGCAGCTCGCGGTGTCCCTGCCCTTCTTCGGCTTCTTCCTCTACTCCTGGTGAGGAGGAGGAAGGGCGAGGGATAGATGGATGATGGATGATGGATGGATGGATGGATGGATGGATGGATGGATGGATGGATGATGGATGGATGGATGGATGGATGGATG